AAATGGCTGGCAATCAGTAGAAAAAGGAACTCAATCCTCATAATGTTATCATTTTCAATTTATTGCGAATTTCCTGATCTGGCGAAATACCACCCGTTTACAAGTTTCAAAGTCAGCGACTTTTTGCAGAAGTTCAATGTTTCTCGGAAACCGAACCTTCGTCAACATGGAAGAGTTGGAAGAAATTCGCACACAAGAGCAAGCAGGGGCGGTAAAGCCCTGCATTCGACTTGTTTTTTTCTTCCCTCCCTTTAAGAAGTTGTAGGGAAAAAGAGGCAAAGAGTCGAAAAGGTGGAAAGGAGAATAAGAACGAAGGGAACAAAACAAAAAACAAAATTGGCGTTGTTGGTGATGTGATATTGCTAGAAGCAGGAAAATACGAAGAGCCTTTTTACTTGGTAATATATATGTCTCTACCCGTGTTGTAAGTCTCTCCCACTAAAAGACATGATAAGATTTGGAGCTGATTCTGTCTAAACTTTTTTCTACATTTTTCATACATCGAAAAATCTGTTAAACTAGCGAGAATTTTCATAAGTGAATAAATAAATCAAAGTTCAAGAAGACGGTGTTTCGTAGCTACCCTGGTATGGGGAAATAAATGGGCCGTGAGGGCAAATTCGATTTTTTTCCGATTTATAACTTTCACTTAACTCGCATTTGCCCTCACGGCTACTATTCCCCCTACTCTTCGAAAAAATCCCTCTGTGTCGAAAGCATCGCATCCATGTCCAGGTTTTGGGTTCATGGCCGCCCCCCATGTCAAGGACATGTGGGATGATGGTCTAAAACATCATACATCCTCTCCGTCATCACCTCTGCCCTTGGCGAGCCTGCCCTCGGGCCCTCCCTGCTTCCCTTTCTAGCTTTCATGGTAAGCGGGCAAGGCGGTAAGCTTACCGACATGTACAGCCCACGACTTAGGGAGTCGTGGTAACAGTGGTGGTGATATAGGTAGCCAGTCCACGGAAGTGAAGAATCATGTCATACCCCTTGGCAGGATAATGAACAGCGAGCAGCGAGGGGAATCTCCCCTTATGTACACTTCATCAAAATCTCATTTGGGCACTTCACGTCCTCGAAATTCACATGCCTCGCGTTTATCTTTCTCTTGCCCCGAAGGTCGCTACGTGCTGCTTCCTTTTGCGTTCAGGAAGACGAAGCTGGGACGGTGGAAGAGATAACGAGGACAAGACTCTGTAGGAGGAGACGATGACGGAACCCCCTTCGACTCCGACGGGCGCAAGCATCCTCCCGGCCGGGTCGGACTCCTCGGAAGTTCTCACTGATAGAGAGCAGGTGTTGGCTTCTTTTACCAATATCCAGTGGGACACCTACGGACGAACGATGCTGGATGCAGGAGAGGTGAGGGTGGAAGGGACGGAGAAGGGGAGGACACGAGGTTTCAAATCAGGCACAAAGGATTTAAATGTTGCGTGATTTCTACAAAAATACGCATGTATGCGAGTGAGTTTACCCGCAGCCATGGAGCGGTAGCCATGTCGAAGTGCGTTGTCCCCTTCCCCTCTAGGCATGCAGGCCCATCCTCCCTCGCATTTTTATTTCACGCCCCACCCCAGGTGAAGATTTTGAAAGACTGCGACGACAAACCCCTGGACTTCCTTTTGGCCGACCCTGGGGACGCGTCGAAGCTTGTGGACACGTTGCTGAAGCTTTTGAACTCAGTCAGCGACCTGGTCATTCAGCAGTACGCCCTGACCCAGCTTCAAGACATCCTCTCCGACAACCTGCCCCAGGTACCTTTCCCTCCCTCCCTCCCGTCATACATCCCATCGTAGGATCATGTCAGAAAGATCTCTG